TGATAATATAGAGACCAATAGGCTGGTACGATGGCCCCGCCTGAGGAAGCAAGCAGTCATTCTTGATCGGTCCACGGGAAACACATCATACGCAGATATGGTCAGACAGGTGAAGAAGACTGTTCACGATGGAAACTTAGAGATTGATATAATGACGAGAAGATCAAAATCGGGAAATATTATACTTGAAACTCCGAATATAGAACAAACAGACTCTCTAGCGGAACTCCTTAAAGGGAAGTTAGGGGATACAAACATAAGACGTCCTGCACAGACCATTCCTCTTTTTTTCATGGGAATTGAAGAGTCGGTGGATGAATCTGAACTTAAAGGTGCCCTAGAAGCTTTCGACGATGGATTAAAAAGTATCAATAACATTGTTATAAGAGAAAATAGAAATGGACTAAGAACTGCTGTCATCCGAGTACCATGGAGAGCTGGGCGTAGACTTATTAACGCTAAAAAAATTAAGATAGGGTGGGGCATGTGCAGAATAAAGGAGTTCGATGCGCGTGAGCAAGCATGCAATAAATGCAGAGAAAAAGGTCATTTCGCTAAAGATTGTCTTGGAGCCGAAAGAAGAAAGTGTTTCAACTGCAAAGAGATGGGCCATCTAATTGCTAATTGCAAACAAGAGATTAAGAGATATGATGCTAAAAGCAAAAACGAGAGCAAAGACGAGGCACACGGGAGTCACATTCTCGCAGTGCGAACTTAAACAATGATAAGAATACTTCAAATTAACGTAGGGATGGGTCGGGCGTCACAAGGCCTGATGAAACAACTGGCTGAAGAAATTAAGGCTGACTTGATGGTGATTATTGAGCCAAACAGAAATGAAGGGGAAGACAACGCATGGTATCCGGATTCAACGGGCAGAGCAGCGGTGGCGGTGACGGACAGAATCCCAGTGGAAAACCCAGGTCAACCGGAACGAGTCTTCAGGTGGGTTGAACTCTCAGGCATACGCCTTTATAGCTGCTATTGGCCCCCCCCATTCTAGTTCGGGCATCATAGAATTCACCGACTTCATAGATAGACTAGAAATGAGCATAAAGGAATCAACGTTACCGGTGATCGTCGCCGGCGATTTCAACGCCAAATCTGGCTTTTGGGGCAGTAAAAAGGAAGACGCCCGAGGCGTTTTACTTACCGATTGGATGGCGTCATTGAACTTGGCAGTGTGTAATAGAGGAAACAAACCCACTTTTGTTCGGGGAAATTCAGAATCACACATAGACATAACTTTTGTATCGAATAGCATAGTCAACAGTATAACCAATTGGAGAATTCTTGAAAAGGAGTCACTCAGTCTACACCAATATATAACATTCGACATAGCAGCAAACTCAGGAGAGAAACATCACCAAAAAACAGGACCAAGGTGGAGCTGGAGGAAACTGGACGAGAACAAACTGAAGGCGTTCATAGAAAGAACCACTCTTACAGTGGCAAATCATGCGCGGTTGGGGGCCGAGGAATTGGTAAAATATCTAGAAGAAGCTTGCAACAACAGCATGCCGAAAGGAACTTACATGGGAAAAAAGAAACCGTTACACTGGTGGACGATGGAGATCGCAGAGTTGAGGAAAAAGTGCTTAGGTGCACGTAGAAAACTAAAACGAGCGACCAAAAGGAGCAACAATATTCAGGCTAGTATCGAGCTCCAAAACTACAGAAACGCACAAAAAGAGCTCAAAAGGGAGATAGAGAGAAGCAAAAACAAAAGTTGGGAGTTACTATGCAAACAGGTAAATTTGGACCCATGGGGACTACCCTATAAAATAGTTACGAAAAAGTTAATCGGCAGGAAGCCAATACCAGGCATCTCGGTTCCTGGGCGAATGGAGGCTATAGTGGACGAATTATTCCCCAGTAAGAACGAAATAAAATGGTACAGGACACAAGAAAGGACTACATTCCCAGAAATTACACCTTCAGAAATAATAGATTGTGCCAAAAAAATACCTTTGGGAAAAGCACCCGGCCCAGACGGCATTCCCGACGGGATCATTAAAAAGCTGGCATTTGAAAGTCCAATGGTATTTAGTAATGTCTACAACTCTTGTTTAAAAGAAGCATATTTTCCAGAGGCATGGAAGGTAGCAAAATTGGTACTTCTTAGAAAAGGCAGCAAACCTCTGGATCAGCCAAATTCATACAGACCGATTTGCCTGCTAAACACAGTAGGGAAGTTTTTAGAAAGAGTAATCAAGAACAGGCTAGAACAGTATCTAACCACTTCTGAAGGTCTGAGCGAAAGACAATATGGCTTTCGGAAAGGGAGGTCTACGATAGATGCCATATCGAAGGTCATGGAGTTGGTAGATTCAGCATCATCGGGCACCCTACGCCGAAGAGAGTTGTGCGCATTAGTGGCACTTGATGTCGCAAATGCGTTCAATTCGGCCAATTGGGATATCATAGTAAAATCACTTCGAAATAAAGGAGTCCCAGAGTATCTAAGAAACATTATACGAGACTACTAAGACAACAGATATATACTTTATGGCGAAGGCAAGAAGAAGAAATTAACATGTGGCGTACCACAGGGCTCGATCCTTGGACCGACTCTGTGGAACATAATGTACGACGACCTGTTACACATTGACTTGGACACACAACGTCTAGGATTGACGGGACACTCGTCGGCCGGACTTGTTGCTTTCGCGGATGATGTCGCTCTTATAGTGACTGGACGTACGACGGATATCCTGGAAGAAAGAGCGAATGAGGCGCTGGAAAAAGTTTCTATATGGATGAAGACGAATGATTTGAAACTGGCTGTTGACAAGACCGAGTGTGTGATGATAACGAAGAAAAGAGGGTACAGGGAACCATTATTCACACTAAACGGCACCATAGTTTGACCAAAGGAAAGTCTTAGGTACTTAGGAATAGAACTGAGCAAAAAACTTGGTTATGGTACGCATATCCAAGCAGCAGCAGTCAAGGCAGGAAAAACCGCGAGTGCCCTACAGCGGATTTTACCAAATGTAAGAGGAGCCAGACAATGCAAAAGGAAGATTATGATGGCTTCAACGGTTCAGAATCAGTTGCTATATGGAGCACCAATTTGGGCAGGAGCTCTCGTATACGAGAAACACGTTAATACACTGCTTGGACCACAAAGAAAAATTGCCCTACGTGTGGCCATAGCGTACCGGACAGTATCTACCCAGGCGATAATGGTGGTCGCAGGGATGATTCCAGTTCATTTATTGGCAAAGGAGAGACAGAAGATATACAGACATACCAAAGAAGGAAAAGAGGTCAACAAACAGGAACAGCGAGCTAATACATATAAAGAATGGCAAAATGAATGGGACCAAGCAAAAAAAGGGCAGATGGTCGCACAGATTGATCCGGGACGTAGAGAAATGGACAACAAGAGGATTTGGTAATATAGATTATCATCTCACTCAAATGTTAACGGGACACGGGTGCTTCGGCTCTTATTTATATAAATACAAAAAACGCCTAAGCCCGGAGTGCGTGGATTGCAAGGCTGTAGAAGATAATGCTGAACACACGATATTTAGATGCGATAGGTGGTGGGGTAAAATAAAAGACCTGGAAGTGAAGTTAGGAGGAGACTTCGAAGCGGACTCAGTAACGCAATTAATGTTAAGGTCAAGAAGTAACTGGAAGGCGGTGAAGGCATTCGTTGGCGACGTTTTGAGGACCAAGGAAGAAGAGGAAAGACAATCTCAAAGAGAGGTTTTTATAGAAGTAATTGACCATTAGTTAAGTAATCTTTTGTTGTACACCGAAGGTGAAATTAGAAGGGACAGAACCCTTCAGTAAGATGTTCAATTGTAAATGTATACTATGTGATATTATGTTTGTTTTTTCAATAAACGATGTGGATAGGGTAGAGGGAAGAGAAGGACGGCTCAACAGAGTGAAGTACCCCTCTATCTCTAGCGCCACGATAACGCACAAAAAAAAAAAAAAAAAGGTTAGGTTAGGGTTCCCCCCCGATGGGACCCACCTTGCCGTGGTGGGGGGCTCACTGTCATTAACTTGATCGGTGCCAAGAGGTTCCCACTTCTCCAGTTCTTACTTTAATTAGTCGGGGCTGGCGACTCTAGAGCCAATCCCTTACCTTAATCGGTCGGGGACTGGCAGGTCTCGGAGCTAGCCTGCAAACACTTGCGAAGGCTCTGAGCCGGCCCTGACCTTAGCCAGTTGGGGCCGGTAAGGCGGAGGCAGCCTACTAGCGCTTAGTAAATGTCCTAAGGGAAGGAAAACCCTGAAAAAAAACCCCTTAACCCCCAACTCGTCAAGGGGGTCCCTTGGCACGGAGGTAGACACGTGTCCACGAGGACCCTGTGGGGCACCTGGCGCCCCTCACAGTATTAGCCTTCCCCGTGGTACGCTGCTCTGCCACGGGGTGACGACACCTTCATGCCCACTCGTGGGAACTTTATGGAAAAAAATAACGTAAAAGAACCCGGAACACCGACCGGCCAAATTGGTGAAAGCGGATCACTACCCGTTAATGCAGTGAACAAACCAACGTCATCCGTCCCTATGCCCCAGGAGGGCACGCATGCTGAGGCAGGCCACTTACTGGCTGATAAACTAACAGCTTCGTCGAAGAAAGCCACGAAGGAAGGCTCCCCATCGACGATGGTATTAGTGGTGCTCAAGTTAAGGGCGACAATCAAGGCGCAAAACGATGTTATTAATAAGCTGTGCACTGAAGCTAACATTCTCAGTCAAGTCGTGACCCTTACAAGAAGCGACAAAGTCAAGGATGGCATCGCTAACATCGTGTCCACAGTCGATGAACTCTCCAAAAATAGGAAACCTCTGCATTGCGCTTTAAACGACGCCCTCCAACTAGCGCAGCAGAGCTCCCAAGCGGAAAACCAACCTCCCGCAACGGACAGCATCCCGCAAAGCAGTCAATCAGGTTCAAAACATCATGCGGAACCGGACAATAAACACCAAGAAATCCAAGAAAGACTAGACAGACAGGACACAAAACTAGAAGCCATAATGGCGTGCCTAGCAAACCTGCAACAAGAAAACAGCCGTCACGAAGCTCATGGAGGGACGAAAGCCCCTCGTCCGCAACTGAACACTAAGACCAATACTCGGAGACAGGAGGCAGCTCCAACACCCACGACCGCATCAGATCTGAAAATACCGACTGAGTACACCTGGACCGAGATAGTTCAGAGGAATAACCCACAGAACAATCGCAAAACCAAGAAGCGTCACAGACCAGAGGCAGTCGTTGTACAAGCCGAGGGCCTCACTTACACAGATATGCTGAGAAGAATCAAAACGGATAAAGAAGTACAAGCCGTAAGCACGCATATAAGTGCGATATCTATGACTAGGGCAGGACACCTCAGGGTGGTACTGAACAAAGAAACGGAAAACGGGGAAACTATTTCCAAAACACTGCAGAAAGCTATAGGCGAATGCGCCAAAACTGTAACCTTAAAAGAATCGACCAGGGTGCAGATTAGCGATGTCGACGAGGAGGCATCAGACAACGAAATACTAGGAGCCATTGCGGACAAAACTGGCAGCATCGATACAGTGAACATCGTCAGCAAAAGAAAGGTTGGACGAGGAGTCCAGTTGGTGTACGTCTCCGTCCCCTCGGCAGTCGTCCACAAAGTCACCCCGAGGATCAGGAAAGGCTACACTAACTGTAGAACCAAACCGATGATCGAAGTGAAAAA